AGAGCTATAGAGGAAATGAATGAGAAAGAGGTCGTGACAGTCGTGGAAGAAGACGAAGTAATGGTAGAAAATGAAGATAAAAGCCACCAAACATTTGGAGGTCGTGGTCGTGGTCGTGGACGAAAAGGAACAAGATGACGTGGTTACTATCGAGACATAAATAGAAGAAGGTATGACAAATCTAAAATTAAGTGTTATAATTATCATAATTTTGGTCATTACTCTTGGTAATGTGGTAGCAATATTGAAGAGAAAGCTAACATTGTTGACGACAAGAAAGAAGAAGATGAGCCAATATTGTTGCTAGCACTAAAGGAATAAGACAAAGATGCTTGTAACATATAGTATTTGGGCAATGGAGCAACGAATGATCCTTTGTATGGATGTAAAGACAAGTTTATAGAGATTAATAAAATATTGAGAGGAAATGTGTCTTTTGGAGATACCTCAAAGATTCAAAATTGAAGAGATATGTACGATTCTAATCTCATCCAAAGAAAGTGGCCAAAATTGATTAAAGATGTTTATTATGTATCAAGACTGGAAAATAATATTTTGGGTTTGCGCTAACTTCTTAAAAAAATAAAATGATATTCATATAAGAAATGCATTTTTGGCTTAGAGATCCAAATGGAAATTTAATTGCTAAAGTGCATATGACGAAAAATAGGTTGTTCTCTTTGAATCTTAAGATAATTGAAGCAAGATGAATCATGGCGTTGGCATATGCAAGATGAATCACGGCGTTGGCATATGTGATTTGGGCACTTAAATTTTGAAGCACTCAAATCAAGGAGAAAAAAACATGGTGCGTGAGATGTCTTCAATCAACCATCTCAATTAATTGCGTAAAACTTATCTTCTTGGAAAACAAGCAAGGAGGAGTTATAGAAGGAGGCCGATCAAGAGCAATCACGCCACTCCAACTTGTTCATACCGATGTGTGTTGTCCAATCGCTCCATCTTCCTTTAGTACAGGTAAATACTTCCTTCTCTTCATTGATGATTTTAGTAGAAAGACTTGAATTTATTTCTTGAGGAAAAATCAAAATATTTTATTGCAATTAAAAATACCAAAGCAACTGTGAAAAAAGAGATTGTGATATAAAATCTTTAAGATCTGATAGAGGATGCAAATTGACTTCAAAAGAATTTAATGACTTTTTCAGTCTTATAAAATTCGTCACCCTCTAACAGTACTATACTCATCACAACAAAATGGAGTTGCAGAGAAAAAGAATAGAATGATTCTTAATATGGTTAAATGTATGTTGAAAGCTAAAAATATGCCCAAGAAATTTTGGGCCGAGACCGTTTCTTGTGCAGTTTATTTGAGCAATATGTCTGCAACAATGAATGTTAGAAATCAAGCCCCCTCAAGAAGCATGGAATGAAAGTAATCCAAGTGTCAAGCACTTGAGAATCTTTGGGAGCATAGTCTATGCTCATGTGCCATATCAAGGAAGAGCCAAGCTTGATGATCGAAGTGTCAACCATATTTTAATGGCAATGAAACGAGTTTAAAAGGATAAAGGTTATACAACCCAATCAATAGCAAAGTAGTAGTGAGTCGTGATGTTGAATTTGATGAAGAAGCAACATGCAATTGGCAGAATTTGAGAAGAAAAAACATACAGTTTCCTTCCGTACTTTAGAGATGATAACAAAAAGTGATCGTGCCTCCTATGGGGGACATAACCCACCTCCCTCTCCAAGCAATATAGTATCTCCTTCCTGTAAAGAAAGTTCACATAAAAGGCCCATAGGAAGAGGAGTATTCAAGAGCTCTATGATAACACTGAAGTAATTACTAATATTATTTTTATTTTCTCTTTATTTGTAACAACCCGGCCGGTCGATTCGAGAGTTTTAGCCCCGTTGCCCTATTTACTGCTCATTTGTGTTATACAACTGTTATATGACTTATCGGGTTAGTTGGTTCGGGTCCGGAGAGATTTTAGAGTGAATTGAGACACTTAATCTCTTAATCGAAAACTCAAGTTGAAAAAGTTGACCAGATATTAACTTTTGTTTAAACGACCTTAGATTTGAATTTTGATGGTTCTGTTAGCTCCATTAGGTGATTTTGTACTTAGGAGCTTGTCCGAATTGTGATTTGAAGGTCCGTAGTAGAATTAGACTTGAAATGACGAAAGTCTTAGAATGATAAAGAAAAGTCAAAATTTAGGAGAAAATTTGCGGATTAGACCCATTAAAACAAAGAAAAAGAAAAAAAACATGTGATTGGAGGATTTGAAGGCAATGGTGCGCGCTGCAGAAACCAAATGCAAAACCAATTTGTTGGTTGTTGTCTATCTTGCAAATTGCAAGAACCAATTTTAATTGGTGCACTTGGCTGGCAACTTCACCTATAAAAAAGGGTTTGAGTCTTCCATTTTATCATACCAACAAAGAAGTGAGAAGCAATAAAAAGAGTAACAGTTCACAGACGATGAAGACTATGAAAATAGTCCGTGAAGAAAAAATAGAGTGCAGGTATATTATGGTGAGTTGTGTAGAATAAAGAGTATTGTTTCATTTGAGTGTGTAGTAGTTTTTGAGACTATCAAGTGTTAATTTCTTTTTTATTATAGTGATATTATATTGTTTCGCTCGAATATTATAGTTTCCGCACTAAATATTTGGTGTCCTTGTTACTTTCTTGATTTTGTTATTTACTGTTAGGGATGGCAAAACGGTTAAAACAAAACAGTTAACCACCCATATTATCCACTAAAAAATGGGTTGGAAAATAATTAACTGGGAAGGAGGGAATAGAAAGAAGAAGAAGCAGTTTAAATACTTCAACATGTGGAGTATGATTCCTGAATTCCAACAAAGAGTTCAGCAAGAGTGGAAGAAGGAAATACAAGGCACAAGGATGTATCAACTAGTAGGGAAGCTTAACAGAACAAAGGGGGTGTTGCTGAAACTAAATAAAAAAAGATTCTCAGATGTAGAAAAGAGAGCAGAAGAAGCAATGGAGCAACTGACAAAATGTCAAAGGAAGATCCAAAAGGACCCCAGGAATAGAGACCTAATTGATGAAGAAATTCAATTAATGAAAGAAAGTGCTAGATGGAAGACAGCTAGAGAACAATTCCTGAGGCAGAAAAGTAAAGTGCAGTGGATAAAGCAAGGAGACCAAAACACAAAATACTTTCACACAGTAATCAAAGCTAGAAGGAATGTTAACAGGATATTCACTATCAAGGATGCTGAAGGGAATGAGGAAAAAGGGATAGAAAGGATAGCAAAGGCATTCACAGACTTCTATACAAAGCTACTAGGTGAAAAGAAAGGTAATAGAAAGCATGTATGCAGCAGCTTAGTAAAGAAAGGGCCAGTAGTACAGAAGGAGCAAAGAGCACTCCTTGAAGCAGCAATCACAGATAAGGAGATCAAAGAAGCACTCTGGGCAATAGGAGGTGATAAAGCACCAGGACCAGATGGATATGGGGCTCAATTCTTTAAAGATTGCTGGTCAGTAGTTCAAAAGGATGTGGTGGACAGTGTAAAGGAGTTCTTTGATACCACAAGAATGTTAAAGAGTATTAATAGAACTGTTCTAACATTGATTCCTAAGAATAACCATGCAGGCAGTGTAGGAGATTATAGACCAATTGCATGCTGCAACACAATCTACAAGCTCATCTCAAAGGTGCTGTGCAACAGACTCAAAGGAGTGCTTCCAACTATAATATCAGAGAATCAAAGTGCCTTTGTGGAGGACAGAAATATAGTACAGAACATCCTGATATGCAATGATCAAGTCAAGCTCTATAACAGGAAGAATTCAACAAAAAGCTGCCTAATAAAGATTGATCTCAAAAAAGCTTATGATACTGTGGAGTGGAGGTTTGTGGAAGAGATGCTCTATGCTTTAAACTTCCCTACAAAATCCATTAAGTGGACAAAGGAATGCATGACAACCACTCAGTATTCAATTGCTATAAATGGTGAGGTACATGGATGTATAGAGGGGAAAAGAGGCCTAAAAGGTGATCCAATATCACCACTCCTCTTTGTGATCTGCATGGAGTATTTTACTAGAATTATGCAATGGGTAGCAACACAGGAGGGATTTGCCTTCCACACAAAGTGTAAAAGCCTAAAGCTGAATCACCTATGCTTTGCAGATGATGTTCTGATGTTCTGCAAAGGGGATTACCACAGCATCATGTTATTGTTGAGGGGATTGCAAACATTCACTAATGCTTCTGGTCTGAGTACAAATGCAGGGAAATCAAACATATACAGTGCAAACATGGACAAACAATGCCTGGAGAACATATGTGAAATAACAGGATACAAGGAAGGGGTTATGCCATTCAGATACCTAGGAGTTCCTATAGTTGCAAGGAAATTAAAGGCAAGTGATTGTGAATTGTTGGTGGAGAGACTAAGCACAAAAATTCACTCATGGGGATCAAGGTGTCTATCATATGCAGGAAAAGTGCAATTAACCAATTCTGTGCTGATTAATATACACTCATACTGGGCATCAATTTTCATCCTTCCTAAGAAAGTGCTTAGAGATATCACATCCATATGCAGAAACTACTTATGGGCAGGGAAGAGTGTATCAACAAAGGTACCACTTGTGGCTTGGGACCTTGTCTGCAGGCCAAAGAAGGAAGGGGGACTGGGTATAAGGGAATGTATCACATGGAATGAAGCTGCAGTGGCCAAATATGTATGGAATATTGCTAACAAGGAAGAAATCTTATGGGTGAAATGGATTAACCATATATACTTAAAGGGAGAAGAGTGGTGGCAACATAGACCCCCTACAGATAGTTGCTGGTACTGAAATTTGTGCAATCAGGGATGTATATGGTAATGGCTACATAGAAAATGGATGGCAATCAAGGACAGGGAAATACACAATCAAAAAGGGCTACAACTGGAGAAGAGGAAAGCTAGAGCAATGGCCTTGGTGCAGAGAAGTCTGGAATAGAATGAATGTCCCTAAACACAGTTTTATTAACTAGCTAGTGATGAGAAAGAGATTGTTAACAAAGGAGAAAACAATGAAGCTGAACATCACTGAAGACAATGAATGTATGCTATGTGAAGGAAAACCAGAATCCATTGACCACCTCTTTTTTGATTGCACATACTCTAGAATGTGCTTGACTGAAGTATTGCAATGGCTGGGGATGAACATACAAAACACTGAGGTAACAGGAATAGGGAGAAGGATGGCTAGAATTGCAAAAGGTAAAGCAGGAAGATCATTCACAAAAGCAGCTTTGGCAGCAGTTATATACTACATATGGAAAGCTAGGAATGAAGCATTATGGAGGAAAAGAGTACCTCGACCACAAGTGCTGTTAAAACAGATTCAACTTGCTTGCAAACACAGATGCATGGAGGCAATGAAGAAGAAGGAAAACGATGACAACCTGTACTGGATAGAACAGTTATACAGATAGCAAAAATAGGTCTCTTGTATAATGAAAATGTAACTGTATAGAACAAAGTGTAGGCAGGACTCAGGAAAGATAGGGGACTTGAAATTGTAACTGTATTTTTGGGATGATTAAATAAAATTTTTATTTCTACCAAAAAAAAAAAATAAACTTTTTAAAAACGGGTCAAATATGGATAAGAACCATATTATCCATTTAGAAAATGGATAATCAATGGGTCTAAATTTTACATTTATAAAACCTCAAATTGGGGGTTCCTCAAGTTAGGGATACTAAGAATTCTCCTTAAAGTGATAATATGCAAGAAGTCATGGATAATTTAGTTATCCATATTATCTGCCGATTAATCCATCATTATCCGTATTAAATATGGGTCGGATCGGGTCGGGTCGGATAATTTATCCGTTTTTTGGGGGAAGTACACGGTTGGCCACTAATAACACATGTATTTACTTTTAAGCCACCGTTTAAAATGTCTTTAGTCTTTAGCCACTGCTTTAATAAACTTTACCCGCCCGGACGAAAATACCCTTCTGCTCATGTCCTTAACTTCAGGACTTCAGGACTACATGTCCTTAACTTTTGAACTTGGAACTCTAAGTTCAGGACTTCAAGGCTACATGTCCTTAACTTTTGAACTTGGAACTCAAACTTCAAGACCAAGCTCCTTAACTTTTGAACTTGTAAGTCAAAGTTAAGGACCTATTGTCCTTAACTTTTGAACTTGTAACTGTAAGTTAAGGACTGTTTGTCCTTAACTTTTGAACGTGTAACTGTAAGTTAAGAACTGTCTGTCCTTAACTTTTGAACTTGGAACTCAAACTTCAAGACCAAGCGTCCTTAACTTTTGAACTTGTAAGTCAAAGTTAAGGACCTATTGTCCTTAACTTTTGAACTCGTAACTGTAAGTTAAGGACTGCTTGTCCTTAACTTTTGAACGTGTAACTGTAAGTTAAGGATTGTCTGTCCAAGACAATAATGTAAGAGTTCGTGAACTCTTAAAAATCATTGGAGAAAATAATGTAAATAGATAAGATTAGTTTTGTGTTTGGTAATACAAAAAACGAGATTGAATTGATCCTTTCAACTTTGAACAAAAGGTAAAGTAAAAAGGAACAAGTAGTGGTCGATGGTAAATCAAAAAACAGAAAAGAGCATAAGGAGGAAGAGATCAACCAAGTTATACAGTGAATTCTCGCCGACGGTGGTGAATGACAGGGTTTACAGATCGGACAAGGAAAATGGCTCCGTTTGGGAAGGAAAGGTTAACACTGTCTTTTCATATTAATTTTAATAGATTAGTGGCTACTATTGCTAAGCATTGAAAATGCTGGATAAAAAGTAAATACCAGCTTAAAAAGTGGCTACCCCACGCCATTTCCACCCGTTTTTTCATTACCTTTTTTCGACTCGAACCATATTCGGCCCGACCCATTCGTTGCCACTCCTATTTACCGTGAATATTACTTGTGTTGGATATTAAATCCCAGCATAAAATTTGAGCTCTCTTCAAGAAATATTGTCGCCGTTGATGTTTTCCTTCCTTTCCTTTTTCGGGAGATGAATACAGTACAATATCTTGGTAGAATTATTAACTATTTGGCAGATCAATTGTTAAAATACCAAGTCATGTTATCTGAAGATATCATATTTGGCCAAATGAAACTTACATTTAGTAATAATTTATCCAAATATGGAATCCCTTCTCCCCTCTAAAACCGGAACTTTACCCGGCCTCCCTTTTGGCCAAATATCACACCCAAGCAATTGTTCCAAGAATGAACTCTCTCAAGAATCATGAATTGCGTAAAACTAAATATAACAACTAAAATTTCGTTCCTGAAAATAATAGTCAAGACAAAAAATATAGCGATAAATAAAAGTATTTGTATTTCAATAATTTATGCGGGTTACAATCTTTGAAGAATCTTAAGTTTAAAAGATATAACCGAGGCATTCGGCCCGATCTACAGGAATAGGGAAGCCCTTCGAACTACGAATTAAGTACTTGCAACCCCAAGGTAAGCCCATAAAGGAATAAAAATTTCCATCAATAATTAAACATTCCACAAAATTTCTAAGTAATGAAGCTCGATCTAACATAATATTTAATCAAATTTTACTTATTCAAGCAATTAAACTAATATGTTGAGTTCAAATAGAGAAANAGGCTTTGATCACAAACGTGGAGGATGAAAAACTTGCAGCTCACCCCTTGGAGACGATGACTTCTTGCTATGCGGAAGACTTGCGAATCACTACTGTGGAGGAGAGCTTCAATATGTATCTTTTTTTCTTGTCCTTTTGGCCTTATGGAGACCCCCTATTTATAGTTGTAGGGGAGGGAACTTGTGATAAACACATATCTTTTTCCTCCAGTTTGATTGGCCAGCTTGAGTCATCAAACCTATCACTAAAGCTATGTGATAAGCTTGCACATAATTGGTTGAACCATGTCATTTGAATATTTGGCGACATTTGATTGGTCCTTACATTTGACTTGGCATGCTACATCACTTATGCACGTGGCATGATTTTAGTGGTCCTTGATTTGACTTCGCACGCCATGTCATTTGACACGTGGCATGGATTTTGGGCTTATCATTTGAAGTCCGACGAGATGAACTAGCCCAATTAACTCGGGCTCTTAATTAAATCCATATACGCATATTGGATTTAAATAATAAATTCAATTATTCTAGCCCGTAATCATTGTTTGGGTTGACACGTCTTTAAATTTATCATGTGGTCCAAATAATTTAATGGACTTAAACTCAAATAATATTCAATCGTCTACACTAAATTCCCAGTAATTTCCTTCCTTTCTTTTATACTGGTAACTAGGAGTATACTATGGACCGAGTTGGTTCGGTTTTTATCAAAACTAAACAAAACCAACTATATCGGCTTGGATTGGTTCGATTTTGTCGGATTTTTCGAGTTTTTGGGTTTTCGGGTTTTTTTTATTACATGAATATTATTTGTATATTACTTTGTTAAAGTTATAAATAAAGTTTTGATAAGTGAATATATGTTTAGTAAACACTGTAAAAATTGACAACGTACATATGATTCATTAAAATATTCTAGTGGAAATTTTGTTTTAGTAACACATACTAATAGTTATTTTCTTAGTTGTCTAACAATAATTTTTCGTTAATGTACGCTTTCAAGATTAACATATGAGAGGATACCAAATATTTCTACATTTGTTTTTAAAGAAAATTCAATATAAAGTCTTAGAAAAGATATAAATTTATATATTTATATGTTGGTTTGGTTCGAATTTTTTTATTCAATACCAAACCAAGTCAAACCAAACCTAGTCGGATTTTTTAACCGGTTTGGTTTGATTTTTCGGTTTAATGTAGTTTTTCGGTTCGGTTTGAACACCCCTACTGTTAACCGTAAGAAATTCTTTTATACTAGTAACCGTAAGGTAAAAAGTAAATTTGTCTTTCAAAAATTATAAAATTCTATTAGTAGTATATAATGTGTATAATATAAAATTAATCATATGTATATTTAACTTTTACAATATCAACTAGCTTTTTCTCTCTAGAATGAAAATGCCTCTCAGCGACGAGGAAGTCGAAAGCTAGAGGGGCAAGGCAACAGAAGGGACGTTTTTGGCCAAAGTTATTAATAGGAGGGGCTAAAGTATTAACGGAGGACAAAAGCCCTAAATTTTGCACTTGAGGGGCATCTCTACCCTTTTGCGTTGAGGAAATTAAATAAGGACAACATGTTTCTTTCAACGGAAAAGGGTTAAAAATATCCTTTTCCTATGCGAAAAGGATTATATATACCTCCGTTATACTATCGGTCCACTACAACTCTTGATGTTATAAAATTGGTGCGAAAATATCCTTCTTCCGTTAAGACCTCCATCATGTACAACACCATCCTACATGTGCCAAGTAGATGCTACGTGGCAAATGCCACTTCACCACCCCAATCCCGTTTACCCCCTCCCCCAACTTCTTCATCCACCACCACCTTCTCCTTTACCCAACCACCATTGCAAACATCAACCAACCACCACCAATTTTAATTCACCATAGCAACCTTTCATTAGCAGTCCCTCCTCCCTGTAATTGCACAATCCCATTACCATATCCCTTCCTCTTTATCCATAAAAGAAAAATAAGTTCCAAAAATACAAAAGTTTCTGGAAAATTTTGATGGAATGTGGCAGAGAGAAAGGGCTATCTTCCATAGAAGTACACGTCTTCCAATTTTTCTTTGCATTTTCATTTATTTTCATACCCAAACACAACCTACTATCCTCTCCAAATCCACATTCCCATTTCTCTTTCTCGATCATTTTTTCTAACATTCCCCAATTTTCATTCAAAGTGGATTCCCAGAAGAAAAAACTCACCAAAATTCGATATCATTTGTAACGACGATGCATATAAGATGGAGCAACTCAGATTTGACGCCGAAGTGCGAAAAGCCATGGCCAAAACCTCCAAAAGAAAGACCCAAGACCAAGAGGACCCAAAATCTTGGAAATGAATGATCCGAAAACAGATCTGGAATTTGATGGAAGCCTAAAATATAGCCTAATTTCCCAGACCATTCAATCAAATACCAAACTTTCTTGGAGCTTTAGTTGCTGCTAATAAGATTCAAAGAGTGCATCTTTATGTGTTTTAATAAATAAAAAAGAGACTTTGAAGGGAAATTTAGTTAAGAAAATTGAGATTTATGTTTAGCTAACACGAAATTTAATTTTATTCATTAAAGATTTGTGCAATTACAGGGAGGAGGGGCCAGATGATGGAGGGTTGTGGTGGTCGGTTCAAAGTAGGGGGAGTGGGTAAAATGGGGTTTGGGTGGTGAAGTGTAAAATATCATGGTCATGTAGGATGGTTCTACACATAGTGGAGGTTTTAACCGAGGAAGGGTATTTTTGCATCAGTTTTATAACGTCAGGGGCTGTAATGGATGGATAGTATAACGGAGGATATATATAATTTTTTTGCGTAGTAAAGGGG